AATTTACCTTTTCATCATTACAGTAGAAGAGTGGAAATACTAATAGTAATAAGAGGAGTCATAATTACAGTAGTACCATAGTTGATTGTCTCTATAGAATCTGTTCCATAGTGACCATGAGGTACTCACTCTTCAGCAGATTTTGCATGAATGTTCGTTGTGCCCTACAAATTAGATGCTATATATAATCAAATTAGTTGGGATGTGTACACCTAATTGAAAAAACGTCAGGTTCAAAAAAAGGTTATATCATCAAAGCTAAGACCGAAGGGGAGCATGGGAAGACGAACAGTTATGCTAAATTCATGGCCTTGGCATGTTCTTAATCTTGGTCGACTGACTTTGCTATACTGTGCATTTTTATATGTCTTTATGCAAATATAATACACATTTCAGAGTACCCAAAATCCTTTTCGGTCTTAGCTTCAGTGATATGACCTTCTCGAACCCGACTACGTTTTTCAAATAGGTGTATACTTGGGATTAGTTGTATCACTGAAATGACCCAGCTGAGTTGACCTTCAGAACAAATTCAAGGTCGACCAATCAGAATTGAGGATTCAACATCATATTTTGATTAGCATTTTTCATGATTCTGCCAAAGAAATCCATGAAATATGAATTTTTCATTCTTTAAATTTATCGCAAATGCCACTAGTTGAACTCATGCATAGTGAAATTCTATTTCATTCAAAACAATAAATCTTTATTGTACTCATGAGCCTCTGCTAGGAAAATGCTAACCAAAACTAGCTGACCCAGACCCATGATCCCTTTATGGGAAGGCAGACAACTTATCCAGATTTTTTTCAGAAGATGGGCATCACAGCTGAACTGACCTAGACAACTGGTTTGATTGTTTGGTGTTATAGTCATTGAAGCTTAAGGTTACCTAAGTCATTACAGAGATACATATAGTGTCATGTTAGGCAGAAATGTAATACAGTTTCTCAGGTATTTGAGAATAGTCTCCTTCACAGATCCCTGCGCCATCTTGAAAGGTAGCTGTGCCTTGTGCATTTGAAGGGATAGTGGTGCGAACCTTGCAATGATAGAGACATGTGAATAATTGTCCCAGGTGTTAAGAAAAGTTTCTATCTTTGCAAGCTCACCATTTGTCTCACTTTGATGCAAGGGAATGGCTACCTTTCAAGATGGCACTGTGAAGGGGAATATTAAACATTAGAAAAAGGGAAGGGAGGAAAGAAAGAATGAAGGGGTGAAGGGATGAAGGATGAAAAGACCAAAGGAAGGAAAGAAAGAATGGGATGAAAAATAAGTAATGAAGGAAGGGATTCCAGGAAGAAAGAAAAGAAGGAAGRTAGGATGGTAGGTGGTATGGTGGGTGGGAGGTGAGAAGAAAGAAAAAAAAAAGATGTTCAGAATAAGGAAATAAAAAGGATAGAAGGAACGAGAAAAAATAAAGTTATACTACTTGTGAAATAACATGTATTTTGTGTTGTGAGAAGAAAGGGAAAAAATGAGATGTACAGAATAAAGAAAGAAAAAGGACAGAAGGAACAAGAAAAAAGAAAGTTATACTTGTGAAATAGCATGTATTTTGTATTGTGAGTTAAGAAAGGAAAAAATAAGATGTACATGCAGAATAAAGAAATAAAAAGGGTAGAAGGATCGAGAATAAAGAAAGTTATACTTGTGAAATAGCATGTATTTTGTATTGTGAGAAGAAAGGAAAAAAATAAGTACAGAATAAAGAAAAATAACAAGGACAGAAGGAAGGAGAAAAAAAATTGTACTTTGTAAAATAACATGTATTTTTTCTTGGGTACTAGTACAATACATTTATTTGATAGCAAATACCTTTTTTAAAATACTGCTGGTTTTAATACACTACAGGCCTATCAACATCAACTTCCTGGCTTCCAATACTAAGAAATGGCTGAGAAATCGCAGTGGCATTTGATGTCTTTGCAGAGAGTTACTTGCAGCTCTTCAATGACATTGTTGGATTCATTCCATCATCAATGAACCTTGCCGGTCTTGGAAAATCACCATAGACTAGAGGTATGCATCAATGTTGACACTGATCTTTTTATTGGTCTGTGTGGATAAGCCAAACACATTTTTCGGTTTCAGTGATTAGCCAATAATGGACGTTTTTTTTCTCGGTCTGTGAGAATAAACCAATCACAATTTCTTTAGTTTCAGCCAATTAGCCAATCATGTCTTTTCTCTAGGCCTTTGAGAATTAGCCAATCATATATTCTTGGTTTCAGCGAATTAGCCAATCATGTTTATTGTCTTGGTCTGTTAAGATAAGCCAATCACATATTATTGTTTTCAGAGAATTAACCAATCAACGTCGTCCTCTCGGTCCGTGAGGATTAGCCAACCACACACATTTTTCGGTTTGAGCTCAAGTCAAGTTTAAATAAATGGAATTGCATGAAATTTAATTTTGGCAACAAAACGCATGCGTTTTCTTCATATTAGAGCTTTTAAGTGTGACTTCACTCGTATAGAAAAAAGGACTTCCCGGTCCAAGTCGAAAAGCAGTTTTCTTCATATTAGAGCTTTTAAGTGTGACTTCACTCGTATAGAAAAAAGGACTTCCCGGTCCAAGTCGAAAAGCAGTTCCATTAAGATTTTTCTTAAGTTTTCTTCATGACAGGATTTGTTGTCCAAAGTCTTAGTTGTTTCAAGTGGAGGTAAAATTGCTTATAGTTTTAGCGGATTTTCTGAGCAGTTGGACCTGGAAATACGTCACAACTTTTAAAAGCTCTTTTGCGAGTGTCGTTATGTCACTTCCAGGAAATTAATAGCAGTAGTCAGCTGAAGGCAAGACGTTTGTAGCTTTATTGGAAGGTAAAAAGAAAAAGTGATTCTTTTTAATTCTCCTATTTGAGGAATCACGCCCCACTTTCGTTTATGAAGAACTACAACCATAAAGGAAAGATAGAGTGTATCTCAAGAAACAGCATTTTTTCAGGACAACAAATATGATTCCCAACAACCGTTCGTAAGTTTTAAGGTGTTCGTAAGAAGATGAGACATAGAGGAACAAAAGTTTTAGTACGTGAGTGTGTAATGTGGAACACAGCACTGATTCTCATAGGCTTGTTTTAGAACAAGGAAGTGTGTTTATTGCAAAAAGGGAGCGCTAGGACCTTAAAAACAAACAAACAATATCCTTCCCTGAGGGGAGGGGGAGAAGAGGCACAAAAATATGTGGTCATTATAGAAATTGAAATTTGAGATTCTGTTTTTAAATGAGCATTTGGACTCGCCCTGCATTGGAACATCACTGCTAAAACGCCCTATCAACCCTCGTGTTGAAATAATTTTCCGTTATTTTGAAATTTTTATTTAGTTTGCTTTGATTTTGGAATTTTTCTTTCTCATATTGGTTTTTGATTTTGATTATTTCTTTGGATTTTCTTGTCAATTATTTATGATTTTTGTCGTTTTTTTTCGCCAGATAACGGTAGTTTTTTTAAATGAAGAACTGAAACAACATTAAAAAAAACCTCGTAATCATGATGGAGTTAATTCTAATTGTCTCAATTGACATGTTTTAACTGAAAGCGAGATTTAAGTTCAAGCATATTGGTTTCTGTTTAGATTTGCGGAGTGAACACTTGATAATCTTGTTAGTGTTCAAGTTACATTCATTTCCATAAGGTTTTTTCTTGAATTTGGTGTATTTTGAGACAGTTTTCAAAACTTCTTTAAGAAATTATGCACACAAATGGTTTTCTCGCGTCATCACGAAATTCCAATAAAATTTAATCTATTTTGGTATACAAATGGTTTCCTTTGAATTTGTCATCGCGAAATTTCCATAAAATTTCCTTTCGTCATCGTGAATTTGCAACAAAATTTAATCTATTCTGGCATACGGCAAATGGTTTCCTTTTGTCATCGCGAAATTTTGATAAATATTTATGTACTCTGGCATTCAAATGGTTTCTTCTCGTGACGTCAAATACCAACCAAGTAAATTAAATCGATTCAGACAGAAATGGTTTCCTTGCATTTCAGTATAAGGTACTGAATAAAATTTATTCGAATCAATCATACCATTAATTGATTTTTATTAATGGAATTTATTTGTGTTATTTTTGCTTGTTTGTTTATGTATTTGCTGAGGCCTCAACTTTTCATAATTTGGTTTCTTTTTTGGCAGGAAGGGATTTCATTATGCTGCTATTTCAACATGTCTGTTTGACAAGAGTGTGTATGATGTATATTGCATCGTACCTGCTGTAAGTAATTCAGTTGCTTTAGTCTTGAGATTCTATTGATGAATCATTTACGAAATTGTGTCTCTATCAATTTAAGAAAAAGCTGAAAATTAATTTAATTTCTAAATATAAAGATCTAGTTTTACTTTTACAAATTAACTTAAATATACTGTAAAAACTGATGATGCTCTTGTGTGCTGCGTGTGTATTTGTATAGTTTTTATGTCTTTTTTGTCACTTTTTCAATCATATTGACTTTTTTGCCTATGTGTTTATACGGTGTGTTATTACGCTGATTATTATAATTGTAAATAGCAGAAATCCCGATCCTAAATGTAATGACTTTTAATTAAGAATATGTAAACCGACTTCCAAGCATTTTTAGCTTTCTAGTTATTTTTGGAAGTTGGTACCCCTCAATCTGTCTAACATATAACAATGTACCAAATTAGAAAATAATGTAATAATGGGTACAAATAAAGTTCTTCTTCCTCTAAAGCCCCATCCCTCCCCCCTTAAGAAACGAACCTTCCCTGATCTCCCCGTCGAAAAACTGTTTCATTTTTACTCGCTTTATTTCTTTAATAACAGTTCATCATCATCACGATACTTGCATTCCTGAACAAGAGAGTCCGCATTAAACCCAAAAGCTGTGATGGAAGACCTGGCTTAGTCTTGTAAGTAGAAAAATAGCATTGATATAACTGATTACAAAACCCCCGGGGGGGGGGGGGGTACTACCAACCCAACTTGGGTAGGGGTGTGCCGCCAGGACCTCAAAACCCTGAGCCTATCCCAGACCTAAAATTTTGATTTTACATACCTTACCCCAGACTAAAACTAAGAATTGTACATCCTATCCCAGACTAAACCTACAAAGTCAAAAACATCAAAAAGCCAGATTTCATTTGATAATATTTGTATTTTTATATTTTTGTTAAGTTTTAAGACCGAATATGGCCATTATTGAAATTATTGAAACCATTTCAAACAAACAGTAGCGTTAACTACATCTCGGTCATGTTACATTTTTTTGCCATGCAAAAGACCGTCATTCAATAGATTGCAATCAATATCTACTAACGTTTTTATTGTTTTTGTGCCGGCAGAAAGCGTAGCCTATTCGCCAGGCAAAAACGACCAAATAGTTATTAACCCTATACCAGACTAAAACGACCAAATCGTAACCCTATCCCGAATAAAAATGATACCCTATCCCAGACAAAATGTCCAAAAATGATACCCTACCCCAGACCCAAGAGCCGAAAAACCATACCCTATAGGGCGGCAAATACCCGTATAGCAAATGCATTACAAAAGTCACGATTAACTAATGAGATGCATTAACCTCTTCATTCGATAAAATTTCCTTACGGAAGTTTCGAGTAAAATATGTTTGAAGAAAAGAACGATTTCATAACTTAAACCGGCGGCTTTCTTGTTTAAAGCTAAAAGAAGGCAGCCAGTTTACCAACTATAAAATTTTAGCAAATGAACAATATTATAGATTAATTACTCAATGAACTGAATTTTCTTTTCTGCTTGTAGCCCATCAAATATTTTTCAGCATGGTGTTATCGATGATAAAGAAGATGTTTCCATTTTTTTTGAATGGAAAAATCATTCGAAACCTGATAATGTTTTAATAGTAATCCTATGGCATAAGAAAGAATTTTCTACGTTTTTTAATATAAAGCCTTCGACTTATCATTCCAATTTTACGGTTTTCGATGGAAAATTTTTGTTGGGAGTAAAATTTCCATGTTATAGAATTGACATCGCCCCATGTAAGGGAACCCAGACTTATGGTGGATTCCGGATTCCAAGCGCTGGATTCCGGATTCCAAGCGCTGGATTCCGGATTCCGAGACTCTGGATTACGGATTCCAAGGGTCTGGATTCCGGATTCCGAGACTCTGGATTCCAGATTCCAAGGGTCTAGATTCCGGATTCCAAAACTTTCGTATTGCGGATTCCGGATTCCATATCGTTAATTTGCATCTGATGACAAATATTCTTGGTGGAGATATTACACAGTGCGGAAGGGGCTACATCGGTTCAGTCTAGGTCGAGGCGATAGCATTTGAGTGTAGAATTTCAAAGTAGCGGATTCCGGATTCCAAAAGGGTGGATTCCGGATACCATTACAAACTGGATTCCGGATTCCAAAGCCTAAAATTTTGTGGATTCCGGATTCGGGATTCCCTTACATGAGGCAAGTGACAGCTATGACTATATATTTCTTTCAGGCCCTGTTGTTTTGTTCGGGACAGCAACAGTAATCGTCTGGCCTTTGCTGTAGCGTTTGGTGCTATTGAAGTGAGCTGCTACAAGCTTTTTACTGAAATCACTGGCTATAGCTTTCTATCACTTTCATCAGATCCAGTCATTAAACTTGGTCGTGGGCCCTGGGGAAAAGGTGAGATCCGCAGTTTTATTTTTAGGCTCTTTATTGATTTTTAGCGACATTTTTATCCTTCTCCCTCTCCTCCCTTATTTTGTATACTTTTCCTATTTTAATTTAAAAATATCAAAATATAAAGTTGAAATTTATTATTGATGATTCTAATTTTTATCCCCTAGAATTGACTTTAGTTGTATGGGTCCTGTTGTATGGATGGATCAACTTCCCCATCTTTGCCTGTCTGATGACTGACCACCTGTTGGTTGGTGCGTTGTTTGGGTTCTTGTATACTCTAATGAAGTAAGTATCCCACACACACACCCCTAACTCTCAAATAACTTCGTCCTATTCTTATTTTTGAATTAATATTTCAGGTTTACTGTTGCTTTGGTTCTTATCTTCTCTTGCCCTAACGCATTTGCCCGTCTTATCACGAAAACCGTAAGTTTACTTTACTTTATAGCTTACTCGAGCTCGGTCTAAAGCACTCAAGGTTTCTAGTGAGAGAGTAGAGATTGTTAGGTCTCTTCTTTGATTTGAGGTTTTATCCGGGTTCTGTGGTTTTCCTCTCTTCGCAAAATCTAACAAGATAAAGTCCCAATCGGCGAGCTTGTAGTCTTGCCCTGAATTACGGTCCTAGGCATCAGTACAGACTTTGTTTCAGGTTTTGATGAAATTTGTGTTTTTAATAACCTCTCTTGATCAAAGTATGCAATGATTAGTGAGGGCCAGTTTTTTATCTTTAACTTCAGGGTGAGGGTCGTGCGTACGAGCAATCAGTGTTGTACACTAGACTTCCTGACCTACTGTGTCACCTTTTCTTGCTGATCCACTTCTGGCTCGTATTGACCAAGGTACTTCGTCGAAAAGTCCGGGGAGCTCCTGCAGAGGTAAAGTTTTGTTTCACACGTATTTTCAATCTTCTCCTCTCCCCCTCTTCCACCACTTTACCGACGCTCCTCTACTGCATTTCATTAGAGGCTTTGCGCCATCACGTGGCAGCCATGGCAGGCAGGAACAATTGAACCCGTGGGGGAGGAGGGGGGGAGGGTACTCCCATGTAAGAAGAGTGTATACCGTATGTACCGTATGTGCTTATCTGGTTTACATGTGAAATAATTCAGTGTTCCAGGAGAAGGAAAAACGACTCTTAACCTATTATTGTACTGTCATGGCTACCATCACCATGATGGTGCAAAGCCTCTATACATTGAAAGAAATACTCCAGTTTAGAGTTCTCTGTTGTTTAGTATTAGCCACGATTTTGTCCAGAATATTCACGTGTTCCAGTAAAGATCCGTGGAATTTCAAAGTGTTTGTATTGTTGAAGTT